CCACCTGCTCCTGCCCCGCAGTAGCTCCCCAGTCTTCTCCTAGCATTTCCAGCTCAAGGCCGGTGGGCAGCTCCCACTTGTGGGCTCTCACTTGCGCTCAGGTGAGCTGCAGACCAGGTGGTGGGAACCCTTGAACCCACATCCCAGGCCTCAGCTGCTGCCCAAGAAGCCATCAGGCCCTGCAGCTGAGGAGGACATAGGGGGCACAGAGGGGCCGAGCACACTGCTGGGCGCGGAGCCTCAGGATGACTCCTGCTCCCCTGCTCTGGGTGCTGTTCCAGGCAATGGGGGTCTCGGGAGCAGAGAGCCCACCCTGGCTATGTCCCCCAGGGAGAAGACACACAGAGGGCTGGACGTGTTGGCCAGGCTGGCCAGCCCGGCTGTGAACCAGGGCTGCCTGAAGATCATCCAGGACTGGGATCTGTGGAGCTGGCAGCCAGAGCTTGGCCCTCTGATGCGGGGAGGATCCACGGGCCCGTGGGTCCAGGAGCATAGGACCTCTGGGGGGCTCTGGGGGCTCCGCAGGTCACCTGCTCCAGGGAGTGTGGAGTGAAGGGGATTAAAGTGTGCACGGGGGTAGCGTGGAGCGTCCACATTCTTTATTCACCAGTGGGTGGAGGAGTGGGCATCTGCAGGGACAGCAAGGGTTGGGGAACAGGCGGGGAAAGGTAGGGACTTCATGGGGTATCTGGAAAATCCCAATTAGAAAGCACTGAACCCCAGGGAGGGAGAACATGAGGAGGCGGGAGGACAGAGGAGCAGCGGGGCTCCCTAGCAGCCAGTGGGGGATCCCACACCCCTACACCGCCCCACTCCCTCCCCTCTCCCCTATACCTCCCCACCCCTCTCTGCCCAGGCACAAGAGGCTCAGCAGGGAGGGGCTGCTCAGGGAAAACTCACTTTGTGTGTGGGATGCATGCTCTCTCAGGACACTCACACCCATGACACACATGCATGTGACCCCTCACCAGCCACTGCCCTGGAACCTGTGTGTGTCTCTTCACTACCCACCAACTCGGCCTCGAGTGTGAGGCTCTGCCTCAGATCTCACAGGGCTCCCTGATGAGACCGAGAAGCGTCCCCGAAGAATCTGCACGCAGACAGGGGGCGGGGGGGGGGGCAGCCCCATCCAGTCAGAGCCCAGGACAGCCCACACCTTTGTGCCAGCTCTGGGGGACCCCTCCTTGCCTTGAGGAGAGGGCTCCCTGTCCAGCCCAGCGGGCAGCCGTCATCTCCACATCTCTAACTGCCTTGCTCCCTCTAAATTTATATTCCAACCCTTTAAGCCGAGTGTGGTGGCTCACACTTGTAATCCCAGCACTCAGGAGGCTGAGGCAGGACGATCCTTGCAAGTCCAGTGCCAGCCTAGGTTATAACGTGAGCTCAAGGCCAGCTTGAACCGCATACCGAGACCCTGTCTCAAACAAACAAACAAACAAACAAACCCTCCAACCCTTTATATAAGTTTATGAGTCCTGAAACCAACAAAACCCACCCTCGGTGGGAGTGACAGCATCTACTATGGTGGACGAGGCACACTGCCGCGCACCCATGAGTCCCCAAGGAGTCCCCAAGGAGGCTGCAGCCAGGCAGGGACCACACCCACAGGCGACTCGGGGCTCCTCTGGGCCCGCCTGACAAGCGCTCCTCCAAGAAGTCAGGAAGGCGGAGCCAGGAGTGGTGCCAGCACTTGGGAGGCTGAGGTGGGAGGATCGTTGTGAGTACTAGACCAGCCTGGGCTACAAAGTGAGCTCAAGGCCAGTCTGAACTGCATAGTGAGACTCTGTCTCAAAAAAGACAAAAACAAAAAACAAACAGACCCTGGCCGTGTTTAAAGCACTGCAGTAGCTCCAGGCAGCGCTAGGCGCATGTACTGGCCGTTCTGATAATCTAGACCGTGCTTCAGCGTCATCCGTTTACGGCTCAACGCCGCAGACACTCGCGGTTTTCTATGAGCTGGTACGGTGGCTACTGCATGGACACCCAAACTGTGTGACAACTCACAAACAACAGTGGTTTTGCCTGTGGGAACTGAGAGGAGGGCAGGTCCTGTGCCCCGCGGCCTGCAGACCCTGCCTGGGCAGGCAGATTCGGCTCAGGGAGTCTGACCTGAAGGTGGGTCCCAGGGCTTCCCCTTCCGGTCCCTTGGCGGGACTCCTTACGGGTGCAGTGTGCTGCAAGGCACGCTGGGAAATGTAGTCCAGCGGTGTCCAGGAGGAAGCAAAACCAGATCTGCAAGCTTGCTCATGCCTCAGCCAGGCTCTGCGTTGGCGGCTTCTAATGTTCCCCTCCTCAGCCCCGCTGCCACCGGGATTGGTAGCACCGTTACCCACTTCCTGGACGGTAAACTGAGTTACGAAGAAGTGAAGCGAATTGCTTAGTGGGAGGTGGGTGACCCATCACATTTGCAGCGTGCAGGAGTAAGGCAGCCACCGCCTCTGCCTTAAGTAATGGGGAACATGAGAACCCTGGCAGCGGGGCCATATGCAGTGGGAAGGGCGGAAGTTTTTTATTTTTTTGTCTCTTCAAATCCATTTTATTTCAAAGAGAAAAGGAAAAAGATGGAAAAAAACTACAACAAAATTTAAAAACACATCAATCAGGGGGCAACAATTCATATTGTCACCCCCAAATCATTCACCTGGAGCACAAGACACCTGCCTTCAGCTTCTCACACTACAGTTTAACACATATGTGTCTAATATCACTTAGGAGTGTGGTCTCAGGTTGCATCCATTTACCTATAACCTATAAAGGTCTCCAGTGTGTCCTTCTTCGTGGCTGCGTAGTACTCCATTGTATAAAAATATCACATCTTTTTTATCCATGCCCTAAATATCGACGGGCATTTAGGCTGTTTCCAAGATCTGGCTACTACAAACTGTGCTGCTATAAACATGGGTACATGTATACCACTGTGGTATGATGCTTTTAAATCTTTTGGGAAGATACCCAGAAAGGGAATAGCTGGGTCAAACCACTAGTACTAGTGTTCTGAAGAATCTCCACACTGATTTCCACAGTGGTTGCAGAGTCTGAACTTCCACCTACAGTGGGTTCCTTTTCCCCAAAGCCCCTCCAGCGTCTGTTACTGGTCAGTATCTTGATGGTGGCCATTCTTTCTAGGGTGGAATGGAAACCTGGTGAGAACTTGACTCAGAAAGGACTGGGGCCACAGCTCAGATCAAGGGAGAGCACTGCCGAGCACGGCCCAGCCCTGGGCTTTGTCCTCAGGACTGAAAAATACAAAAGCCCACTCCTTAGTGCAGCGCTGAGTCCTGACTCAGCTGACAGCCCAGTGGAAGGATGGAGAGACGCCCACCTTCCCCAGAGTCCCTGCAGCTGTCCGCAGCCGACTCTGCTCTCTCCTGTCCCTCAGCAACCCGGCCTGGGCCTAGGAAAGGTGCCCTGGAGATGTCCCAACAGACCTGAGCCTCGCAGAGGGCCAGTGCAGGCCCTGGGCCTGGCTGGGGCCACAGCGGAGGGGCTGGTGGCACCATGTGGCCAGCGCTCTGCCATGCCTGGGGCTTCCACTCCTTCCTGTGGCCTATGGAGCGATTTAAGCCCACGAGGTGGTGACAGAGGGTGGAATGGGCATGGGGAGAACTTCAAGGAGACAGATGGTATCCCTGACCCATTCGGAGCACCCACCCTCCGGGCAGTGACAGCCAACAGTGTCTCCAGAGGGCACTGAGCGGCACTGGCAGGCAGATGAACCAACCAGTCCCTAGCAGCTCTCTCAACCGCCAGGTTTCGCTTCTATTGTTGAGGCGGCAGCTATTGGTCTGTGACGCCAGGCCCACAAGGGCCCTGTCCCCACCTGGCTCCTTTTTCCTACTGAGTAATATTCCGTGATGTGGACAGACGCCCTCTGCAATGGGGCTTGCTCCTGGGCCAGTGCGTGGTCGTGCTCCCAGCCAAGCCTGCACCGCTCTAGGCTTCTGGCTCTAAGTGTCATGAAGGAGATGCCGTCTTCGAAGCCCCAGGCGCGTAGCCAGTGACTGCGCAATTGCCGTCTCCATCCTCAGCCTTCTAGCTGACTGCCCCAGGCCCATCAGAGGAGGGCCAGGAGCCCCTGCCCGGCAGCACCCACCACAGCATCGGCACAGGGCCAGTGCGGCTGGGAGTCGGCCCAAAGAAGGGCCACCGTGCACGGTGGGCCCCAGTGGCGCCGAGGGATGGGCCAGCCATGTGCAGGCCTCTCAGGAGCAATCAAACCAGGCTGCGTGGTGACCTGGACAGCGAGGGGTGGGCAGGTTCTCTAAGTACCTCAGAAGGTTTTGCAGAGAAAGGGGACCTGGGCTGGTCAAAGACAGGCAGCATTTTCCGCTGCATCCATTCCAAAAAAAAAAAAAAACCAAAATGGTGACCAGACATTAACTTTTGGCCCAGTCTGGGCCCATGCCCAGAGGACAGCACGGGGTGGTGTCCGCGGTACTGAAGAACCCGTGGGGCACCCGAAGGTACCTGTAGACTTTTGCCCACTGAGGAAGGGGGAAGTAAAATCAGCGGGTTGGCAGCACCCCCTCCCCATGCTCAGCGTGCATCCACATGCATGTGTTCACAGGCACTGCTGCTCCAACCTATGGAGCGATTTAAGCGCAGACAGCGCCCCGTGCAGGCAGCCACACGCCCAGCCATGGTGCGCAGCGCTGCACCACCCGCCCAGCCCAAGAGTGCAAATCCACCTCACTCCCAGGGTGCTGAACCACAGAGCCCCGTATTACCCAGCATCTCGGGAGCCCGGCCCCCTGAGATGCCACTGGATTAGCTCAGGGGCAGACGCCCAAGTCCAGGAGAACGATGCACGTGTAGGCCCGGTACCAGGAAAGGCCGGACCCAAGGGACCACACCTCCAAGGCCTAGGCCTGGTCCAGTGCCCGACTGCATTCCTGCCGCCTAGGCCTGGGCAGTGGTGTGGGGACACCCAGGCTGCACAGGCACCACCCGGACACAGCCCTTCTCCACTCCCACCCCCGATGCAAGAACCACGCACCAGGGACAACCGAATAGTGCCATTTATTGTCACGCACCCTCTCCCACCTCGCTCAGTCGGGGAACAGCCCTGCCCAGCCTGCCATAGAGACCACGCTGGGAGAAGGTATGGTTCCATGTTCCTCCCCGGGCACCCCGAGTCCAGGAGTAGAGGACTTGGGCCAGAAAATCGATAGGACGCTCAGGGAGGGAGAAAGAATTGAGGGCAGGGTCAAAAAGGTGGGTGTGATTAAAAGAAAACTTGATGGGAGGGCCCCTTCCTCTTCCTGCTTCCTTCTGCTCGCCCGTCTACCCAGGTCACCTGCTGCTGCGGCGGGGCAGGCGCGCGTTCCCGAAAGCAGTGTGGCTGGAAGCTGCAGGCATCCTCGCCCCCACCACCGAAGACCTGGGTCCGTTTCTCGGGTCTCCGGCCTCAACTGCTCTGCCAGCCCGAGGGTCCCCTCCGCCCCCGGGCGCCCCCGGCCCTACCGGGCGTCCCTGGCACGGCACTCGGGACAGCGGGGCGTGCCGTTCTCGGCGTCCGCATCTGCATCCTCGCTGCCTGTGCCATAGAAGCTCTGTCCGCAGCCACCACAGACCGCGGGGGCACCCACGGCATGCACGCGCTTGTGCCTGCGCAGCGCTGCACCCTGCACGAAGCCCTCGCCGCATTCCACACAGATGTGTGCAGGCTCCTCGCCGCCCGCAGCACCCGGGCCATCGCCGTGCTGCATGCGCTGGTGCGCCAGCAGCCCTGCTGCGTGGCCGAAGCCCTTCCCGCACTCTGCACACAAGTAGGGCTTAGGCGCTGGTGCACGGCGTGACCGCGGGGCCCCCACCGACCGCGCACCTCCACCAGCCACAGCTACAGCCGCAGCACCTGCACCCTCTCCCGGGGCACCCACCACAATGATGCCCTCGCCGTCGCCCACTGGGATGGCGATCTCGCCGTCTGCAGCTGCTGTGGCCTCGGGTGCCTGGGCGCGCCGCACAGAGGCCGCCAGCACGCGAGCTGCCACGCCAGGGCCTGCAAGCTCGGGGTGCAGCCGCAGGTGGCGCGCCAGGCTCTTGGGCTGGCTGAAGCCTCGGCCGCAGCGCGGGCACACAAAGGGCTTCAGGCCACTGTGCGAGCGCCTGTGTTTGGCCAGGCTCTTGCTCTGCGTGAAGCTGCGGCCGCAGTCGGGGCAGGCGTAGGGCTTCTCGCCCGTGTGGATGCGCTGGTGCTGCATGAGGTTGGAGCTCCAGCTGAAGCGCTTGCCGCACTCTGAGCAGGCGTAGGGCTTCTCGCCTGTGTGGATGCGGCGGTGCTGCACCAGGTGCGAGCTCTGCGAGAAGGTCTTGCCGCAGTCGGTGCACGCGTTCGGCCGCTCGCCCGTGTGTGTGCGCTGGTGGCGTGTCAGCTTTGACCAGTGGCTGAAGCTCTTCCCACACTCGTTGCAGATGTAGGGCGCAGGTGGCCGAGGCCGGGGTGGGGGGCCAGCAGGAGGCGCCGTTGGAGGTGGAGACAGCTTGGTGGGGGGCCAGCTGGGGACGTCGTCATCATCCATGATGAGGATATCCACTGTAAGGCAAGAGAGAAAGGGGCATCAGAGGGGGCTGGGGATAGCTTCCTACACCTCTACAGGGTGCTGTGACTCCCTGGGGGCTCCCAGAGGCAGCCTCCACCCACTCCCCATGGACAGTGGACATCTTTCAGTGGGGAGCTGCGCAAGGCATCTGGGAAAGAGGACGCCTGCACCCAAGTGCCCTTTGTTCAGGAGTGCACTCCCTGTGGGCCACAGCACTGGGCACTGGGCACTGGGCACGGGCCCCTTAGCTGGGCACCTGCCTGCTCCTGAAATGCAACTCTAGCTACAGGACTGGACCCGGCTCAGAGGCCAGCTGAGCCCCTGGCTATCAGGATTCGGGGCCTAGGTCTGCAGCCTCCTTCCAAGCATGGGCCCCTTCAGCGATTAGCCTGAACCTGGGGTCACAGGCCCCAAACGCTGCAGTGCACCCCACCCTAAGGCGTCTTCCAAAGCACGAACACCATTACACTGACCAGAGATCTTCCTTCCCTGCTGGGCTTCCCAGCACAAGAACCCTAGACCACTGTGCGTATGGGAGGAGAGCAGCACTTCCCAAGGGCGGGCCAACGAACAAGTCTTTGAGGTCAAACCCTTCAGTGGTGGTGCTGTCTGCAGGACCAGGCCTGCACCAGGAGTACAGCAAGGCCAGGGAGCAGCCAGGGTGGGATGCGCATGCGCACAGGCCAGCAATGTGCACATTTGCAGGCTCACAGGAGGGCGTGGTTCCTGACCAGAAGTGCCCTTCCACCGCCCCCCTAGGAGCTGGCCGCAGGCGGGGTCCACACAAACCCAAAGGAGCACACCACTCATCCCAGCACCCTTGGAGGCTGAGGTGGAAGAGTCACAAATTCAAGCCCAGCCTTTGTAGCTTAGCTCATTAGCTCAAAATTTATTTTATTTTTTTTAATTTTTTTTTTTAGCTCAAAATTTAAAAAGGGAATAGGGATACAGGTCAGTGCAAAAGCCCTGAGTTCAACCCCTCAAAAAAAAAAAAAAAAAAAAAAAAAGAACAGAACAGAAAACTGGAAGTCAGAAGCACAATACCTAGAAGCAGGGATTGCAACCCTGAACTGGGGCAAGGAAACAGACCCGCTGTCTACCATGGACGACCACGCTCCCTGCACTGCAAATGTCCTCAAAGTTGTTGAGGAAAAAGTGGAGCAGCGAGGCCCAGAAGGAAGCCTCAGTACGGTGCCGCTAGGGTGGAGACACACGCCAGGGGGACCCTCTGGCCCCAGCTGCCTGTCGGTGTCTTCCCATCGGACCACCAGGCTGGCTGCAGAGAAGCCCGGGCTCGCTGTTCTTGCCTGTGCACGGTGGACATCGCACCATCTTTGAGTGATTACAGCGGGCCAACAGGAGGTCTGAGGTCACTTCCGCATTTGTCTGGGGTGGGGGTGCTGGGGATTGAAGCAGGGCCTCCACACTGAAATACATCCTCCCCTTTCCACGTTTTGTTTTGAGAGTTGTGAAGGTGCCCTGCTGGGCTCACATGTGCCCTCCTCCTGCCTCAGCCTCCCACGGTACTGGAAAGCACGCTGTGGTGCTCCTTGCCCCCTATGCGCTGTCAGAGACGGAAGGGTTTTGGTCTCTCTCAACGCTGAGTAAGTGGTCTCCATGGGACACGCCCTGGTGCTGCTTTCATCGGTCTTGCTGTTGCAGGTTCAGGACTGTCTCGGTGGACCCTGCTCCTCTGCCCACCCTCAGCACACTTTCCTGTTTCCCGGCCGCTGGCTTCCTTGGCCCTGACGCCGTACCTTCCTCATCACCTTCAATTCCTCCTTCACTTCCGCCTGGCTCCGCAGCTCTGCGCCCCCCTGGGCTCTCTGGGGATTCTTTCCGCTTCTCTGTCTTGCCATTTGCCCCCTGGGGGCCTCACTTGGTATGTGTGTCCTGCACATCCAGCAGGACGTCATTTTCGCCAAGCTCTCCGGAAGCATGGCCCCACACCCCTGCCCTGCCCCACCCCCTGCTCCAGCCCTGAAGCCCACAGGTGCTGTCGGTGTGGGTCAGGGGCACGTGAGTGGGGGCAATTCCAGGCCTTGCCACAGCGTAGCAGAGCTCTCTGGGTGATCCTAGGGCCAGCGCTAGACAGAGGAAGGCCAATGGCCCTGTGAGAGTTCCCAGACCCCCCAGGGACCACACTTGGGCAGACACAGGCCTGCTTGTCTCTGGGCCAGGCCTGGACACCATCAGCACCACTGCCACTGTCCGTGAGCACTGTGGGCCGCTGTCAGAGAAAGGGTACAGAGGCTGGAGAGGACCCTGCCGCAGCCCCAGAGCTGTGGAAGTGGGGCTGAGCACTGGGAGGGGCCTTGGGTTCCTGGGAGCTCCCGAGATGGCCCGGAGGCACCCAGGGCCCACTTCAACGACAGCACTGGCCAGAGACACAGCACGGGGAGACTGCACGTGGAGGTCATCTCTGGCCCCGCCCTGCCTGTCTGGCACCTCCCAGGACTGAGATCACAGTGCAGCAGCCTGGCAGTGTCCAGGGGGCACAGGGCAGGGAAGCAGCAGCTGTATCCCTGTGTGGAGCTCCTGCTGGCAGGAGTAGTGCCATGCTAACTGTTAAAACGGAAAACACTGTGTCCCTAGGTAAGGCCGCCCACCCTGGTGAAACACGCAGCGCCCCTGAGGCTCTTCCATGGCCCTCTTGTCCCAGGGCCTGTACCACCTTGGTGGAAGGAAGCGGGTAGGGCTCGGGTCCCAGGAAGCACACTTAGTCCACGGCCCCAGAGCAAATGGTGCTTTGTTAAACACAGTATGTTGCAGGCACCCCAAAGTCCCAGGAAGACATCACCACACCCCGAAATGTGAGCTCAAGTCTTGTGCTCCCTGTGTTGCCCATCCCCATCCCTCCACATGGAGCCCCAGGTCCCCTGGTTCAGAGCAATGTCAACCAGGGAGGGTGGCAGGGGGTACTGCCCAGCAGGGAGAGGACATCAGACCCCGAGAGAGCCCCAGGCTTGGGAGGGCGGTGGCCACCTCACCTGGGTTCTCATGACTGGCCATCTGCTGGTCCTCGGAGTCCAGCGGCCCCGGAGACCAGGCCTCTTCCCGCAACTCCATGTGGGGGTCCCTGCAGGAAGAGGAAGAGACATGGGCCAGGGTTGGAGAAGATAGCACCGTGCGTAGCCCACATCTGTGGCTGCCCCAATGGGGGGTTGGAGGATAGCCAGGGCTGGAACCCAGAGGAACAACCCCAGGCCATGCCTCCGTGTCCTGCCTGGAAGACTAGGAGCCCCATGGGGGCCACTGGCTGCCATCCTGTCTGGCCACGCCCAACTGTGAGCAGCCCACAGATGACCCTGCTGTCTGGGGGTGTAGGACTGGGGTCCCTGCACAGGACCAAGGAGTGGCAGGGCCATGGGCGACTCCCTGGTTCCGGGTGAACTAGGGTGAGGGCAATAGAGCTGCCAGCCTCCATAGCCTTCGAACCTACACACTGACCCCTGGTGCCCATACAGCAGCAAGAGAGAGCTTGGCCCCTCATAGTGTCCCCCACCTGCCAGCTCCCCTCCCTGGGCAGCCTCCACACAGCGATGCTGCCACCCTCCAGAGCATGATGGGCGTCAAGCAGAGGCCTAGCCCAGGGCAGAGGAAGAGCAGGAGGCAGGCAGTGGAGGGAGCGAGGGAGGAGGCCTGGGACTTCGGACCCCACCCAGATGCATGGCAGAGGCTGGCGCAGCTGGGTCCCTCTCATCAGCCGACCTTCTCTGCACAGCGGAGCAGGACATCCCCTCAGAACTGGGGACAGAGCCCAGGGTCTGGCACTTGGTGACAAGCCCTGTTTTCTCTTTTCTTTGGTAACAGCCCTGCTAAGTCACTACACTGCCTGGGGGATGAAACTTGCAGCTCCTGAACACGCTGGGGAGGAGACTTCCAAACAGGTGCTGCAGGGGCGGGAAGCCGCTGCCCCGGCCACACTGTCCACGCAGTCACCTCCTGGAGTTTGCAGCCAGGCCAGATTGTGCAGAGAGCTATTGTTCCCATGGGTCTGCACACTGCTGTCCTGGTGAGGCATGAGCACCCCTCTTATCAGCCTGAGGAGGACTAAACTTCTCAGACCGCAGGGCGCACAGCGCCCTTGGACACCACTGCTGAGCCAGCACTCTCCAGGTGGCAAACACCAAGGCACTGAGGCACCCAGAAGCCCCACTGCCAGGCAAAAGCACAGGAGGGGAGACACATGCAGCACACAGGCAGCAACAGCTTGGGGCCTCTGTGGGGCGGGGTGGTGGAGAGGGGCCCAGCTGCCCTAGAAGGATGCAGATGAGACCTCTGAGACTGGGCAGTGGTGACAGTTACCTGACTAACTGTATTAAAACTATGGTGCCTTAAAGAAACAAGAGTCTCAGCATGCAAATACCTCTAAAGGAAACTAAACTTTTAAAACACCATAAAACAGCCGAGACTAGCCGAGCCAGGCACTGCAGGGGTCGAGGAGGTGGAAAGGAGTGGTTGTCCTCCTGCCTTTGCACCAATGCCAAGGGTGATAATGCTTCCACTGAAACAATAAACCCGCTCCCAAGCACCGGGGCTTCCCAGCGCCCCGCCCGGCCTCCTTGGGCTCAGCTTCCTGCAGACTGGGGCAGAGGGCAGCACGCGGGCCTGCCCGGCACCCTGTACCAGCCAAACTGCAGGGGGCAGTCCAAAGCTCTCCAGCAGCCCATGGTGACAGCCTCAGAGACCTCCTAGTCCAGAAAGCCCCTGCTGGGTCCCTGCACACAGGGTGGAGGACGGGAGCCCAAGCTTTGGGCTGCGCCTCGCCTGGGGCCCAAGGCTGCACTCACACTGGCAAGTCAGGGACAGGCTCGGGGCACTCCTCCTGGCCTGAGCAGGGCTTGGCACACACTAGGCAAGACCCGCCCGATGGTCAGGCGCTGCTCCACAGTCCTGAACCTGAGGAGGCAAGGGCCCAGCACAGGCTCTGCTCTCTGCAGTGGGGAGGGCCCCAGGGCAGCCCAGAGCCTCGGGCACCCCCTACTAGCCAGGGGCCTTGCCGCAAGGCCCAGGGCCAAGTGCACGCGGATAACCCTGACTCCCAGGTCCTCCTCCTCTCCACCCCCTAACTCGCTGGGTCCTTGGCAGCTACAGTGGTCCCAGAGCCCATTCCCTGGCTCTCACAGCCTGGGGCCCTCACTGCAGGGGAGTGTGGGCGCACTGCTCCCAGGCTACCAGAACACGCTGGGTGCAGGCCAGTGCAGGACACCAGCTCCAGCCCCACCTCCAGGGCAACCTCAGCACCAATCTGACCGCCCAGGGGAGTCAAGGCTCCCGCCAGGCTGGCCTGGAGCTCATCCAGCCACCCTGCTGACCTCCACCCTGCAGAGCAAGGGAGGCATCTGGCCCACCCCCCACCCCCTTGAGCGATCCAATTAGCACTCAGGTCTGACAAGCCTATTAAAACCCAGACAAATTATTGTTATTATTGTTGTTATTAGGCCCGCCCACCCCTTGGAGGCCTGCCCGCCAATTATTCCCTTTCTTCAGCTGCCAATCTCCCCTCCTCCCCGGCCCTCCTGTCCCTCCCGGCCACAGGGGCTGGGTGCTAGCTCAGAAGCCACGCCAACCCCTGGGGCCCTGTGGGACCTTCCCTGCCACAACAGTCTGCTGGAGCCCCCAGAACATCCGGCACTGACAGACACCGACCCTTAGGCCACCAGACCCCACTGCTGCCCAGCAGCGTGTCCTCGGCCCCACCTCCCTTTCCAGAGGCCCAGGCCGACCAGGCCGCTCCTCCCACACCAGGACCAGGGCAAACCTAGAAGCTCTAGGGACCTGCATCCCAAGCAATGCCTGTCCAGTGCAAGACATGTGGCCACAGGGCAACAGCACCCCTGCAACCCAAGCCCAGGCTGCATGGGTGGGGAAGAGGGCACAGCAATCCCACAGGTGAGGACACAGCCACTGGCTCAGATATCCCAGGAGCCCTGCCTGGTGTGGGGACACCATAGGCCGCCTGCAGGTGGGGTCCCTCAGCCCTCACAGGAGCAGCCTTGGAAACATCGCCTGCAGAGAGGAGAGGTGCTGAGCTGCAGGTCCAATTCCGCCTCTAAGAAATGTACAGAAAGGCCAGGCCACTGAGAAAGAAAGATGAGACGTATGGCCCTTCTCCCTGGTGCCACCTGAGTGCCCGACCAGATGACCCCATCTGACCTCCCAATGCCCTTCGCCTCACCAGCCCGAGTACCCCACTTGCCTCCTCCTGGGGCTCCCCCTAGATCCTGCGCCACCCCCACACCCAGGTTCAGGCAAGCCCTGTTGCCTTGGGGACACCTGTCTGCGGGTGAGACACTGAGCCAGGTCAGCAGGCCTATCCCATGCATACCCTGAGCCATAGGCTGGAAGCAGTGAAGGCTCTCCAGAGCCCTCAGCCCCCCTTTCCCTCCTTCTCTATAAGGTCACTCCTCAGAGGTCCAGTGCAGGGGCCACTGTCATCCCAGGGCAGCCCTGGCAGCCCAGGTTTCACTGACAGCTTCGGCCAGCACCCCTGCTCCACAAAAGACCTCACCAGCGTCACCCAGCTCCCCCATGCCCTCCCCAACCCGTGCCCATGGAAGTCAGGTCTCTGAGGGCAGGGTCTGGCCAGCTGCTGTACCTGAACCTGCAAGGCTGACTATGCTCCCTTTTCAACCCCAAGGACCCAGGGTCCGATGAAACCAAACAAAACCTGGAGGCCACAGTGGACTCTGGGTGGCTGCTAGCTACTGATTGGTGTGTTGACAGAGGCCCGGGCAGGTAGGGGCCACAAGGACTCCTGTCCCTTCCGCAGTGCCTGGAACTGCTTATAAAAGTAATGTCTTGATAGTAAAGAGCCAGGAACAGGCCCAGCTCCCGGCCTCTCAGCCTCAGCACTGGCCATGATCAGCAGAGGGCCCTCCACCTGCCGCCCGTCCCAGCCTCAGGCCCATCCCGGAGGCCAGGCCCCACTAAGCACATAAGCTCTGGCCTGATCCGCTAAGCCATCAGGCGAGGACAAGGGCAGCGGGCAAGCTCTCCATTGTGCTCTGGGTCATAGAGGGACCTTGTTCACTGTGAGTCCCCCTACAGGGAGGGGCCAGCTCCTGGGGACAGACCTGGTGAGGGAGCGGCCGGTAAACACTAGCAATGTCCCTTAGCAGAGGCGAGGAAGCCAAGGTCTGCCTGAGGGATGGCCACAAGCAATGCCACTCCACTACAAAACAGGGCCAAGACACTCTGTCTGCCACCCTCTCCAGCGCGTGACTCTAACTGTGGACTGGAGCTCTGGCCTGGGAGAGGCCTGACAGGCTCAACAGCACTGGCAAAGGGTCCCTCCCCACCAGCCCTAAACTGCACAGCATGGGGCCCACAGAGCAGCCACAGGATTCTGAAGCTCTGAGGGGCAGGGCTCCAAGCTGTGAGACAGGACTTTGCTGGAAGTCTCTCAGGTCCCTGGCTTCAACCACCGCAGGGCCAATCCTCTCCCCTCAGCACAAGAGGAAAGCCGCTCCTCTGAGGCCCAGAGGGAGAAAATAAGAAGCCAAGGCATGAGCAATAGCAGGAACCACCAGGAGGGTCCCATACCACCCGGCCCCAGGGCACGAACAGCCCAGTCCACCCGTCCTGGACAGGCGCAGATTCACCCCATGGGGTCGTAGCCCCCACCCCGAGGAAGGGGCTGGGTCCTTAGGACAGCACCCCCAACCAGGAGTCCAGAGACCCCAGCCTGAGACTGACACCAAGCAGCCTTCAGGACTGACTATGTCCTCACCCGACCAAGGCCAAAAGAATGGTATCAGTGGAGTGGGTGGCCTTACCATCAAGCATCCCATCTTGTTAATGTGGGGCAACCATCCTGGTCCCTGGTCTCTGCGAGCACAGGGGACTGACCACCAGACACAGCACCAGCATACATAAGTGCTGGCCAGGACCCTCCAGTCTTGGGAAGCACCAGACATTAGTGGGCTCTAAGAAGGCCTGTGAGGCTGAGCACAAGAACCCCAAGATCTGTGTGTGTCCATCAATAACTACTGGTGACCTTGGCTGTGCACCCGGCCATGGGGTCCTCTAGGCTGACTCTCTGTAACCCTGCACATCCACCGGCACTCCTGGGGCTCCCAGGCCACTGCAGCCAATCTCTCAACCATCTGCCTAGTCTCAGGCTCAGGTCTGAGAGGCTCCGGGAAAGGGCAGGGTGAGCCTGAGACTCCTCTCTGGGACTCCTTTGCACAGCGGCCTGTCTGCAGTCTCCAAGGACTGGGCTGGTCCAAGAACCTTAACCTTGCTCTCCACTTTACTGGCCTGAAGAGGAAACAGCCTGGGAAAGGGGAAGTGATACATCCAAGGTCACAGAACTGGAAGAGACACCGCCTGGCTCCAAAGGCCTTTCCAGTAATTTTGACACTGCAAGAAAAGCATCAGGGGGGCTGGGGATTTAGCTCAGTGGCATAAGCACCTGCCTTGCAAGCAGGCGGTCATGAGTTCCATCCCTGGTACCCATAAAAATAAAAAAGACAAAATTAAAAAAAAAAAAAGCATCAGGAGCCTTCCACTGAAGTCACCATTTTTATTATCACCTGTTCTGCACAAGGGGGAATATGTGACAAGCTTCCCTGTCCAAGGCCACAGGAATGGGGTGAGGACAAGCACTGGCACCCCAAAACTCCTAGAACACAAAGCTTCAGCCCCTGCCTGCCACTGCCTCTGGCAGTCAACGGACAGTCTGACGAGCCCGTGCGACTCCACAGCCCAGCTAGCATGCAGAGAACAGGACGAACAGCGACCGGAGGAGGTATCTGATGTCACCATTCCTGACCTTGGCCAAAAGATCAGCAGGGCGGGCAGACACGAAGGCTGTGTCAATGCACTTAGCTCAAGAGGCTTAGGCTTTCAAGGCGAGCTATGCGGGATCAAGGCCACCAGCCTCCCTGAGTGGAGGCCAGATCTCAGCTGGACCCTCAAGGCCCACCATGGGGCTCGAAACCTGGATTCTACACAGAAAGGACCTACGGAGTCATCCCTTCCCAGAGCCCTGACCGATTTCCTCGGTTGGGTCTCTGCCTTCCACACCAGCCAGGTTTATCTTTGGGCCCCTGGTGCTCAGCAGACCCTGGCCCCGAAATAGGCCTCTTCTACACTGGCTTCTCCTCCTGGGTCTGCAGGCTGACCCTGCGGGTCCTGGCCTTCAACTCCAGGAACTGGGGTTCTTCCTGCCTCTGCGGCCGGCTCGCTTTGAGCTGGGGTAGGGGCGGGGTCCGCCTCTAGCTGGGGAGAGGCCTCGGGGCCAGGCACGCGGCGCTGACCTTGGCCGCCCGCCGACCTGGGCTCTGAACCGACCCCGCCGCCAGAATCCGCGTCATTACCCCGGATCAAAGGCCAGCGCCCCCGCCCGGGGCAGCAACGGGACAGGAGCCCCAAAAAGGGGAAGGAAGGCACCCAGGGGCCTGGGCCGAGGCTGCAATCGACCGCCCTTTCCGCGGCCCTTTCCGCACGAGGCCACAACTCCCCCAGAGTCGCCGGCACTTCCGGCCGCGAGCGGCGGGCAGCGCAGACCCGCACCGACCAGGCCCCGGCCCAGGCCGCGGCGCTCGCGCACGCGCAGAGTCCGGGACCGCGACGCCCGCCGCGCGACCGCTCACGCCCCCCCCCAACACACACACACACAGCGCGCACGCGCATTCGCCCTCGTCCGCTCCGCGGCGCTCGCCCTCCCGCCTCCCCACCCACCCCCGTCCAGAGCCGGGTTCCCAGCCCTGCGCCTACGCCGAGCCACGGCCCACGACCCCGCGCCCGCGCTCACCTCCTCGGTCCCGGGGCTGCCGCGCCGCACTCCTCCTCCTCGCGCCTGCCTCGCGGATGGTGGCAGCGGCGACTCAGACCCTGGGGTCAGGGGGACGGACGCCCAGGCCGGAAGTGACCTTCCCGGCCGCTTCCGCCCGCGCCGCTCCCCCTCCCCTCCCCCTCCTCCGGGGCCGCCACCCTGTCCTCGCCGCTCTAGGCAGGCGGCCCCCCCTCGCCGACCCCTGGCCTCCGCCCTCAAGCTCTATGGTGCGGAGCGGCGCCTGAGGGAGCCACTTCCGGACGCGTCTAGGACCCGAGTCCTCCGTGCCCGCTCTATGGCGCCTCGCGCAGAGGGGCTGCGGCCCCGCCCCTCCCAGAACAGCGAGCGCTGCGCGACCCGTTAGGTGCAGACTTCCGGGTGTCTGTGGCCCCTACCTCATGCTCGCGCCTGCGCATTGCGTGCCGCTACCGGGACGCTCGCGCCACCCTGGTCATCTCTATTATCGTAACCCCTTCCGCGCCTGCCCTAGAGCGTCGTGCTGATCCAGGCGCTCGCGACCCCGACTCTCTCCGGTCTCAGTTCCCTCCGTAAAAGAATGATCTATCCTGTACCACCGGGTTCTGACAGCGACTGGGGCTGCAGAGTGGTGCTGTGCCCGGTTTGCTGAGGACAGGCGGTCAGGTCACTGACGCAGAGTGACTCCAGGCATGGCAGGGCCTGGGCGCCCTCGAGGGCCTTTGCGGTGCAAGATGTCTTTGCAGACAGTGGCCCGCCCCTGTCCTTTCAGGCTGCGCCTCGGGGCCGGTATACCCGGACTTGGCCCGCGCTCCCGGTATCCAGCTTAAGCTGCACATCGCTTCTCTGTTTAGTATTTATAGTCCCTTTGCTTTGCTATCGTCACCACTGGAACAGCCACCTCGCTAGGCAGTGGAAACACTGGAGCTACGACTGCCTGTAGAGTGGCACCCTCCCAGCCTCACTGCCTCACCTGTGAGATGGGGTGTGGGGCAGCTGTGCGGTAGACGGCACAGGAAGGTGCTTAGCTCATGGTCTGGCTGCAGAAAGCTCCGTGGGCCAGGGCAGCAATCACTGCGTGCTGACAGCACTGTTTCTCCTGCTCTGGCTGGTGCAGACCTTCAAGTGCGATCAGCGCAAATCCTAACTTGTGCTTAGCTGATTTAATGGCATTTTCATAGGGAAAAATAGATTTAAGACCTGAAAGTCACCAGAGCAATACTGTATTAAAAATGTGCTCCAGGGCTGGGGATGTGGCTCAGTGGTAGAGTTCTTGCCTTGCATGCACCAGGCTCTGGGTTCAATCCCCAGCACCACATACACAAATGCATGCCAGTAGTGACCTATATCTGTGTCCCTCCAGAATACTGCAAGGGAGGGGTACCTGACTGTGATAGCAATGAAGATGATTATGGGAATGGACCCCACACCAGGAAACGCGTGCATGGGGAAAGGCAGGTGTGTTTCTCTGCATGAGGTCAGCCAGTGTCCTGCCGGCCTGGCTGGTAGGTGGGGCACAGCACCCTTCCTCTGGGTGCCCTCCATCTGCAAACAGAGCCGAACCTAACTGCCCAGTGTGGATGGCCACAGAGAAGTCATCTGCTGACGATAGGGGGAGGAGAGGGATGCTTGATGCTTTTGTGACAGCAGCTCTGTGCCTTCTAGAGTTATTGGAGAATTTTCTACTCATTTAAAGCATTGCAGACTGGAATCAGAGGAGCCAGTGCTGCACTGTGCCTCAAACTGGGAGGGGGGCTGCAGCAGGGACAGCTCCAGCACCATGGAGACCTGCTCCTCCTGCCCACTGCGGTGGGATACTGACTCCCACCCAGGGCTTCACCTCTGGGCATTCGAGTGTGGCCTTGTGATAGGCTGACACCAACGGGAGGAGAGGAGACGAGACACAGGCCACTGCCAGCCCAAGGTTCCTGGGATCAGGTATGCCTGCTCCATACCCCTTCCCTGCTGGTCGGCGGGAAGGCAGGAGGAAGCCAAAGAAAGCCGGGTCCCTGACAGCTGCCTGCCTGTGGAAACACATCCCCAACACCACCCAACACTCCTCCAAGGCTGCTCCAGCACCAAGAGGTCAGCTTCTCACTGCACGTCGTGGTCACAGCAGACTCAGGCACAGCCACAGAAAGGACGAAGCCTCCATTGTGTCTGGGGCAGATGAATGGGTGAACCTGTGTGCGTGCTGGGTGGATGACGGTTCCACCTGGGACAGGGAAGGAGATTCTGACGCACACATCAAGACAGGTGCTCCGTGGGGACAGCATGTTAGCTGACCACTTGGAGACAAAATAAGTGGCCGATGATTCCACTCCTGGGTGCTTGGAGCGGTCAGAGCCACTGAGAAAGTGCTAGGGGAGAGCAGTGACAAGTTACTGTTTCAGGGCACCAAGGCTCTGTGTGTGTGTGTGTGTGTGTGTGTGTGTGTGTATGTGTTTTCTGTTTTTTGAGACAGAGTCACACTGTGTAGCACAGGCTGGCCCAGAACTCACGGAGAATCTCCTGCCTCAGCCTCCTGAGTGCTGAAATTACGGTGTGCACCATCACACCAGGGTAGCTCTCAGCCCCAGGAAAGAAGGCAGAGGGTGTGGTGCCCGGCCACTCTGGGTGCTGTCAAGTCCCTCCCACAGGTGCCCTCCACGGCCTCTCTGATTTTCCTGCTGAGGATGTGTCACACACTGAATGACAGGGACAGCTGCAGTTAGCAGCCAGGAGAGGATGGTCTGCAGCTGTTGAGGTGAAACTACACACAAAGAGAATTGTGTGCACAATCTCTCTTCCCCGCTGACCATCATCAGTTAGATTAGCAGCTGTTTCTTGAGTTCTCATTATGGGCTACAAGTTTACATTCACAATCATCTTCTTTGTTTTTGTTTTTAAGACAGGGTCCCGCCATATAGCCCAGGCTGGCCTCCCACTTGTAGCAATCCTCCTGACTCAGCCTCCTGAGTGTTGGGATTATGGGTGTGCATCACCAGGCCATTTATTTTGCCACCATAAGGGTTAAAAGTCTAGGACACAGCCACAGGAAGCAGGGTAGATGGAAAGAATGATATCTTTGAGGAAGTGGATCGAATTGATCCTGACACTGCTGCTATCTCAGGAGTCCCATGTTTTGCACGGGCTCTGGCTGATGAGTTGGAGCAGAAGCCTAGCGCGCCCCGCCTACCCCGTTTGTGCAAAGGGAGTTCCGTGCCAAAGCCACAGTATCTGATCCCCTTAGCGTAGCCTGTAGCCGTGGCTGCCTCCCAGGCTGCCAGTCACAGCAGACCCCAGGGAGCGGGCAGAGCGGGGACTTCCCGCCCAGCTTCCCGCCCAGCGTGTGCTTCCCCCCAAGCTCCCCGTGGCTGAGATGTCCCAAGCTGTGAACCAGGTGTTTGTGTCTCCACAACCTCAGGGAATCCAGGGATTCAGCTTTGCATGAGAAAGACATCAGGGCTGAAGCTCCAGTTCCAAGAGCCAGAAATGCGGTTCAAACAGGCTTAGAGTGAAAGCGGAGTGCGGGGGTAGGGTGGGGGGGAGTGTCAGGTCAGGAGTGGCAGTGCACACGTGTAATCCCGGCACTCAGGAGGTTGAGGCAGGAGGATGGCCTTGGGTTTGAGGTTGTCCTGTGATAAACAGTTCAAGCTCTGCCAGATCTGCACAGCAACACACTGTCTACAGAGAGACAGAGAGAGACAGCGCGCGAGAGAATCTCAGCTTCAGCGGACAAAAAGCAAAACCAGACACAAAATTCTAAACTCAGAGACTTCTAAGTGTGGTTTAATCCAGGACCTCAAACAGTATCGCTTGACAAATTTGGGCCCCACTCCCTCATTTCGGGTCTGGGGCTGCTCAGGGGAAAGGACATCCAAGCGTTCAACCTGCGTCCACCCGGGAGAAAGCTGGCCCCTGGCTGGCTGTCTCCGGCAAAGCCCGCATGTTTCACACAATCTGATTGGGTCGCCCTAACCACAGTGAGTGGAAGGAGATGCTCTGATTGGCCAGCTTTGAGTCACATGGTCCCTTCTGGAGCTGGAATCCCTGTTGAGAAGGGGTGGGGAAAACAGTTGCTAGGAACAGCTGGGATCGGAGGAGGAGCGAAAGGGGGAGCGGGGAAGCGGGAGAAGAAGGTTGCAAAGGTGCCCCCCTCTCCGGCCCCAACCCCAGGCCACAGTAGGACGTCGCGGGCCGGACACTCTCCCTACAGCCCACAAGCAAACACAGACGTGCGATTCCTCCTTGGAAGGAGCCGCTGTCCCAAGCACAGCTCTGAGGAGGATACTCCCAGGGAGGCAACGCTAGATGCCCCCTGGCCTGCTGACTCTCCACCTCCTGAAGCCGAGAAGAGAGACCCACAAACAGAGCCAAGCGGAGCAGCGCCGGGATCCTGCGCCCTCGTGTCAGCCCTGGAAGAGGTGACACCACTGTCCATGACAGTCAGCTACTGGGCAGACTCTCAGCACGCTCTCTGGAGGGCCCTGCAGTCCTCGGGGACAAAGCCCCGCGAGAATCACCGCTATAATCCCAGCACTCTGGGAGGCTGAGGCAGGAGGATTGCAGGTGCACGCCCAGCCTGGGCAATTTACAGACTTAGCAGGACCCTGTTTTGCAATTTTAAAAAATTAAAAATAAGGCTTGGTTGGGATTCTTTCTTGACAAATGAAACTAAGAAACTAATCTTAAAAGCGTGGCAATGCTGGTTGCCTGTAGAATCCCTCTCTGTGGATCTGCTGCAGGCTGTTTGTAACCCAAGGTCCGTATTCTGTGCTCTCCGGTCTCGAGGCCCCGGCAGAGGCCTGTACAAGGACAGGCGCCTGCAGCTCACAGTTACAAAGTGTCCCTTATCCTAGCCATTTGAGCAGCCCTGGTACTGAGTGGCGCCCCACGCATGGTGGTGGTGCGCAGCTTCTAGAGAAGCCTTGCAGTGGAGCCCAATGGGAGGACCGTGCATCCCGGTTCTCATCAATCCACACCGCAGGCATCTCCAGGTGCTTCTCTTATTTAATAGGGAAGATGCAGGGGCAGCGGGACATGTAGCTTCTGTGCTCTGCTGGGATCTTCTCCTGCCAGTCGGCTTCCTCCCCTGGGCTAGACCCACGGTGACCCTGGGAACGCAGACCTCTTGCCCTCTAGCCTGTTGGATGGCTCCCAGCAGGGTACCCGGGAGTTAGCACTGCCTCAACAGCAGAAGCTGCCACCTGCTCTAGGCCCTCAGCAACAGGGAGCTGGAGGATAGGCCTCAAATGCTGCTGCAGATCCAGCCTCCCCAAGAGACGAGGGAGAGACAGGGCCTGGGACCACCAGGCCACAGCACCCTGCGGAAAAGGAAGAGCTCTGCAGGAGGCTGAAGCAGGGGAGCGCCACTGAACGGGCAATGCTGCACCACCTGGCAGAGCTGACCACGAGGACACCTCCTCCTCAGCACCCCCAGGCTTCACCGGGGACAGCTGGGCCATGGATCCTCCTGTCTTCAGGGTAGGATTGCCCCCACCCCACACCCTGAGGCACAAGTGGTCCCCCAGCCTTGAAGGCTACCCAGGCCACCGAGCAGCACTCTGCTTTCTGCAGCAAGAGGCACACGTCCAGCCCTGCAGAGCCCTGGGTGGCTGGAGGCTTCCACCAAGGGGTGGGAAGGACAAAGCCCAGCACAGCCCCATATCCCTGGCCGCTCTAAGTCCAGCCTCCCCAGGGCGATGGACACTGTGGAATCCTCTAGGAAACAGTCCCTTTGACTGGATGTTGTCACCCACGGCTGGGAGGAATGTGGAGGCATTTCTCCCCTGCCTTTTTTATGTTGGTGTTGTTGGTTTTTCCTTTTGTTTTGTTTTGTTTAGCTTGGTCCTTTTGAGATAGGGTCTCACTATACAGTTCAGGCTGGACTTGAGCTCACCTGATAGCCCAGGCTGGTCTCCAGTTCGAAATGATCCCCCTGCCTCAGCCTCCTGAGTGCTGGGATTACAGGTGTGCGCCACCATGCTAGGTTGGCTTGTGCTGCACGTTTGAGAGGGCCTGGCTGGGACAAGCCTGCATGGGGTTGGGCTGGGTGTCAGATCCCCCGCTGAGGCAGAACCCCTGAGGTCTGTGGCTTGCCTGGAGGGCCTGGATCACAATGTTTGAATGAGCTGTGTGTCTTTGAGGTACAGTGTGATTGTGGGCAGAGATCCATTCATAGGGAGGAAGCCACTGGTCTCAAGCATCTCCTGGGTCTGGGGACCTGAAGAAGACAGCACTCCCTCCCGGGCATCCCTGTCCCTGGCTCATCTGTTTGTCTAATGAACAGGATCGAAGCCTCCAGCCTGGGGCAGAACGGAGCCCTCTGTGCCTGGAGGTCTTCGGTCTTCAAAGCTTCACACGCACAGAAGGCCTTAATTATTATTTTGAGTTATAATTACAGTGGTGCTACAAGGAGGGCAGGAGCTGGACCTGCTGCCAAAGGAATCCTCAGCCTGGGGCCTGGGAAGCTGAGGGGAGCCCCGCTCCCCGCTCCTCAGCAGTCAGGCGCTCTGACCAGGTAGGAGCTGGGCTCTGCTGCTGGGCTACAGTAATGGACAGGCAGATGGGGAAAGGGGACTGGGCCCTAGCTCAGCTTCCCAGATTCATCCCCCCCCCCCCCCCCCGCACGCTGAAGGGGCTGAGGATTTGTGGATGGCTGTGGCTAAACTTTCAATGGAGGACACACAGGTGCAGCCCCACACAGCTGACCCTGCACACCTATGCCTGCTGTCACCTCTGGCCTCAAGGAGGACCTAACTCTAGATGACTTGAAGGGACTTAAAGTGTTCCCTGTTGAGTAACGACAGGATTTGGGGGCTCTGCCACAATGGATTAGTTTACCGCCCCCACCATGCCATGGTAGAGCCAGGGTCCCCCTGCCTGCCTAACCCAGTCTGCCCAGATGGCTGTCAGAATGAAGGCACCACCAGCAGATGCCCAGGCTGCTCAGATTGCTCAGATGCCCCTTGTTAAGACCTGGGACTGTCAAAAAAAAAAAAAAAAAAACCTGGGACTGTCTTTCTTTGGTTATTTTTTGAGACAAGGTTTGTCTATATATTCCAGGCTGGTTTTGAACTCCCAGTGACCCTCCTGCCTCAGCCTACAGACTGCTGGCGTTATGGGTAAGTGCCAACACACCCAGCTGGGACAGCTGTTCCTAGATGTCCTGGCAGTAGACCTGTCTCCACATTTCTTTGGCCAGATCCCCAGGCTCAGCCCACCCTGGGGGAGGAGGGTGTGCACATTGCACTGCCTGGAGCAGGAGAGGTGTCTTCTGAGCTGCTGCTGGGGCTCTGGGCCCTACCTGCCCATCCTGATGCCCCCACACCTGGGCAGGGCTGTTTGTCCTGCCCACCCCGAGGCCACTGTATCTATAGTGTTGGTGCCATGATTGGCACCAGATACAGAGGAACCCAGGGTAGACCACATTCTGTGGTCAAACGTGCTGCTTTGGCTACGTGTAGGTGGGGAGTCAACTGTGCATTTGGGCTGGGCTTGCTTTTATTGCTTTACTGCAGGTACAGTAAAAATAGCTTTTCTAGCACTGGGAAAAAGTACTGACACTCTCGACTTAGGAAGGAGTTTATTTTAGTTTGTGGTCTCAGAGGGTGGTTCAGCCCATGGTCAGCTGGCTCCAGGACAGAAACAGCCCAGCAGAGGAAAGCTGCTGACTCCCCATGCCCAGGGCGCAGAGAGGGCAGGAGAGCCTGAGCCGGATCCATCCTCCCCCGGACAGCTTGGTTACCTCACTCATCTAGAGATGAGCCTGGTGATGTGCACAGCACCCGGGAGCCCCAGCCCCCTTCCCAAAGCCCTCTGGGGTGCTTTAAGCTGAGCCTCCATGGGCAGTGCATGTGGATGTGCCAGGTGCCGCGGCCAGCGCGGGGAAGGAGTCAGGCGAGAGACTGAAGACACAGGGAGACCAGTTGCTCAGGAGGCAAAAGGCGATTTATTGAAAGACTACAGAGTTTTTATGTTTCAAAACAAAGAGCAGTACAAGTCACTTCAGGACACTTTCTTGTGCACACAGCAAAGGTAAACATGCTCCTGGGCCCGTGAGAAACTTCTATGTTGTGCAGCCCAGGAGGTAAACATGTTCTTGGGCCCATGAGAAACTTCTATTGTTTATGTTATGAAGCTTTTCCCAGGTTAATATCAGCGCGATGCTTTGTCTAGAAGGCTGAGGTCACTGTAGGATGAGGAACTGATTGAGGTCCAGCTTCAGTGTGTGGTTTCCCACACCCGTTCACTGCCGGACCCCTGGCTCCTGCTCCCAACATGGATGCTTTGCACAACTGATCCTCTGAGGTCAGTGAAGCTGTGGCTAGGACTCCAGAGTGCAGGCAAGCTCAGGTCCTTCACCTTCAAACCACTGGGCAGGTTCCAGACTTCGGCTCCATAGAGCTGAGGCTGGGAAGGCATGTGCGTGCTGCTGGTGGGGGCCTGGGCACTGACAGCCGTGACAGAGGGACACTGGGGTGGCTACTGTGTTGGAGCATGTGAGGAACCGGGACAGTGGTGCTGGTGTACGTGACCCTTGTATCCAACCCACGGTATCCGACCAACTTAGACATGGTAGACGACACATTCCTCCCAACCTGCTGGCCAAGCTCTGGGCCCTGGCTCAGGCCTGCAGCCCTGACCAGCACCTGCTTCTCATCTACACTCAACCTGCATGAAAGAAGGGAAGTTGGGTCTCAAACTATCACACTGCGTGCAGGGCTGGGCAGCCTGGGCAGGAGAAAGCAAGAGACACTCCTCCACTTAAAAGTCTAACAAAGGTCAGTTATCCAAAGCAGGTGTGGTGGTACGCGCCTATAATCCCAGCACTTGGGAGGCTGAGGCAGGAGGATCGTTGCTAATTCGAGACCAGCCTGGGTTGTAAAGTGAGCTCAAAGCCAGCCTGAAATGCACGGCAAGATTGTGTCTCAAAAAGACCAAAAAAAAAAAAAAAAAAAAAAAGCATTTATCCAGTTGATATAGGGAAATGAAACATCTAACCTACCATGTCTGCGAGTTCATGTTCTCTAAAATTGAAGAACTAATTTTAGGAACATTGGAGATTAGGAGTAGAATATATTGAGAGAAAGAAAGCTGTCTGAGGAGAGACAGAAGGGATCCCGAGCGGGTTGCCAACGACTCTGTCTTTTTCAGGGACTTTTTATAGAGTAAAACCATGGGTTCAAGGTGGTGGAAGACAGGGAGCTCACAAGGCAGGTAGGCATAAGGTGGTACATAACTATAGTTAGCCAATAAGAGTCAATAAGATCAATAGTTCAAAATCGATTACATTAGGAACAAATGGGGGAGTCACATAGAAAGCGGGCATTCCTTCAGAGTAGAGACTTCTCCGGGGGATGCAACCATTTAGGGAAGCAATCCTCAGGATATGGGTGCATTTGTTTGATCTTTTGTCTTGAGGTCTGGCCCACAGCAGGAGGCCTCAGTTTCCCCGCCAGCAGTTTCCTGGTATCTGCACTGGCTCCATTGAGGACCTAGCCCTGTCTAACCGCCTATATTTCTAACTAACTCAGCTGCCTGCAACAATATGAGTAAACAAAAGATTGCATAGTCACACGTTAGCCTTCAGAAGGAAAAAAATTCTGACACATTACATCCGGAAAGAACCCTGAGGACATTATTTTAGATAAAACGAGCCAGTCACGAATGTATGAAACGCGGCTAGCTTAAGTTACCAACTAAAGCTCCCAGCCTCAAACCACGCTGTCTCATCTGCTCGCTCCCCAGATGCTTAGCGTGTTCCAGGCACAGCCTCTTCTTCCTAGAAACCCAGACTTTAAATTTTTTATTTTTTTATCGCAGTACTGGGAATTGAACATGAAGCCAGAGCCTTCACACAGAGCTATACGCCCAGCGCTTATTTTTTATTTATTTTGAGGATTCTCGAGAAATCACTCGGTTTCTAGCCTGGGCTCAAATTTGGGCTCTTCCTGTCTCGGTCTCCCAGCATTGCTATGTACCCTAGCCCCAGCAGGTTAGTCCCTAAAACATGGGGGAGACTCAGGTCCACGTGAGAATCCTGAAAGGGCGCCACCGAGCTCCGTCCCCCCAGGCCGTTGTGAGCCGGTTAGGGCCGAGCCTCCGCGCAGGTGTCCACCGCGGGCCGGGACCCCGCGCTGAGCGGCCTTCAGAGCCGGAGTCGCTGGACTCGGGCGCGGGGCACCGAGCGGAGGCCGGGAGAGGGAGCCCGGGGCCCGACCAGGAGGGAAAAACTAAGACCGCGATCAAAGAAACGTGGCCGTCCTGTTGCCCGGCGAAGAACTCCAACTGGTCGCCGCTTCGCTAGCTGCTCCCGGGCACCAGAGGCACCATGGCAGCCTCCAACGCACCTCCAGGGCTTTGCCTGCCAGGCCCCTCTTAGTACATCTGCGCATGCGCGAGGCTCTCACGTCCGCGGCCAATAGGAAAGTCCCGCATGCATTCTGGGAAACGAAGTCCGAGCCCTGGATCGCTCTGTTTGCGCCGGCGGGGGCCAATAGACTGCAGGCCGCGCTTCAGGGCATCTTGGGTAGTGTAGTTCTGTCGCTGAGAAGATCGGCGGGACGCATAGCAAAAGTCAATGGGAAGCCGCCTTTGCCACGATGCTTCCTGGGAAATGTAGTTCCCAGTGAGACCGCGGAGAAGGCGAGCTGCTGGGCCGAACGGGGGACGGAGGGTGCGGGTTTGTGGGAGGTTGGGGGAAGAGTGGGGAAGACTAGCGAGTTTGGCGCAAAGCCTGCCGGGGCATGGAGTCCCGGTGAGCTTTGTGCGCATGTGCGGGGAGGTGAGTGGGCTGAGCGGGCAGAAGGGGCTGAGGGGCCTCGCCCGTGAGAGTGAGGTGAGCCAGCGGGAAAAGAGGGAGGGACGGGGCGGGGGCGGGGACGGGGATGGTGGTGGACGGCATGGGCGAGTTTCGGGGCGGGGGCGAGGGCGCGCGGAGGCGCGAGACTGGGGGAGGGGCTGGGACGGATGGCGAGGGCGCGGCGGGGGCGGGCGGGGGCGGGCGCTTGCGGAGGCCGGCTCGGGAGGGTCCGGGTCTCTGAGGGGGGTACCGCAGAGTCAGAGACCCAGAGTGGGGAGCGGCGGGAAGGTCGGGGTTGCCGTGGCGGGACCCGCAGAGTTAGCGATCAGAGGCGCTGGGGGGTGGGGGTCGGGCCCCGGGACTATCCCGCGGCGGAGTTGGGGCCCCCGGCCGGAAGGTCTGCAGAGTCGCCCTCACCAGCTAGTGCTGATGGCCAAGGAGGCGCCCCGAGACGTGGAGCCCCGCCAGGTTTATTTCTTGCACAATCCAGAGTGGCGGTGCTGGGTGCAGTGCTGAATTCATTCATAAGCGTAGAGAGCATCGGGTGCACCCCGTGACGGTCCGTCCGCGTGCCCTGGTGGTCACTGTCCTCGCGGGTTGGTCGCGGATGCGCGTGTTTCCCAGGTCTCCGCTCTCCACGGCACCCGGACGAGGCCCCAGTGCCGAGCCCCGGCTGGTACTATCGGCAGTTTCCTCTTCCTGACCTGATTTCATGCTCACCGCAGCTCCTGGGCTGGTGTGATTATTTGTTGTCCTCTTGCGGCCGGCCGGGGAAGAGGAAGTACTGTGTGTGACAGGTGTTGCTGCCCCTGTCCAAGGACGCCTGGTGAGGGCGGGGGGAGGGGTGTACAGAGGTGGACCTTGCTGAGGAACGCTTGTGCGCTGATTAATATTTGCCCAGCAGGCCAGGGGCTCCCCTAGGGTGGCCGGGGCAGCGTCCAGAGGCGACTGGGGAGTGCTGGTGGTGCCTGGTTGATTGGGCTGGGTCGCTGGGCGGTCCAGGGACAGGGCCTCGTAGTGCCTTAGCCCGGTAGCGCCAAGACGCAGTCGGAGACTGGGCTTCATCCTGCACTTCCACGGGTTGCTTCTCATTTACGCGTCCTCTGCTGGTTCCTCAAAGAGGGCAGATCAGGCGTCCAAGAACATACAGCTTGTAGGGGTTCAGTTAAAGTTGGAAGCAAGGCAGCCACACCCCAGGGAGAAGCTGGGACTTCCCTCGGACTGAGCCTGGGGCCTGCTACTGTGCAGTGCCAAGGCCTGGGGGTTCTCGGGGGCGGGACCACCCCTGTCTCCCCAGGCTGGTGGGAAGGGCATGCAGAGTGCCACAGCAGCCTTGGTGCAGGTGCACTGGGTGCTTATTGGTGCCAGGCCCTGGTGCGGTAACCCCAGCCTCCCTGATCCCCACCCCATGAGGTGCAGCACAGGTCCTGGTGACTGCTGGTCCCTGCAACTCTGAACCTGGCTGGTGTGGCTGGCCTAGCTGCCTCCCGCTCCAGCTCTGGCTCTGGCTCAGGCTTCTCTCTCTGCAGTGGCACGGGGTCCCTGCACCCCGGAGACAGCTCTGGCCAGCTCTTCCGGGAAGCTCTCCTTGCCTGCTCCAGGTGAGCCAGCCCTTGGGTGGTCCCCTTTGTGAGGGTGCCCAGGGCAGCCTTGTGGGTTGGACCTGCCAGACCCTATGTCCTCTGTGCCCGGACCCCATGGGCCCCTTTGGATCCTCAACTATCGAGGAATGTGGGCTTCCGAATGCGGCTAAGAAACCCACGAGGAAAATCCGCGTAGGTGACATTACAGAGAACAGCTGATGCCACTGTAGTGGGGGACCCGAGGATGCTGTACATGGAGGCCTTGATGAGGGGGGGAAGGGCAGGTGGGCAGAGGCCCTGTGAGTGGAGGCTGGGACGGGAGTGGATGGCCCGCAGCAGTGCAAGCTGGCTGCCTTTGGGCTCACGGTGCTGGCAATGTTGGGCCCAGTGATCCAGCACCAGTGTAGAGTATCGGAACCTTGGGGCTGCTTTCTCGTAACTAGAAGCTGGAGCTCATGGTGGCTTTATCAAGCGGACATACAGAACTCACAGTGCCTGGGGACAACCTTGGGGCCCCAGGCGTCTCCAGGCTGTCCAGGGCCCTCCCTGGCCTGTGGCCAAGTGGTAGGGTCTTTGTGTGGAGGACTGTCCCTGCCCTGTACAGCCCACAGCTCTGCCAGTTCCACCCCAGAACCACCTGCTGCCCTGGGTCTCAGCACCCTGGTTCACAGCCGTGGCCTCGCCCACCCCTGCCTTCCTGGGGGCAGATAGCATCCTTCTGGCCAGGGCCCTGCTGGGGTGGTAGTGTGCCTGGGCTGGGCTGTGTATCCCTCAGAACTCACCCTTGGAAACCTCAGTCTAGGGCGACTTCATGGGGCATGGGCTCTGGAGGTCCTGGGTCCTGAGGGGGGCCCTCTGTGGGGCTGGGGTGCCCATGAGGCGGAAGATGTGAGCATGAGTGGCAGTTACCAAGGACTTGGGGTGACCTGAGCATGGATTCAGAGGGTGCCAGCCATGGGACATACCCTTCACTGTACCCCCACCTCTGTGTTTCCTTCAAAGGCCCCATGGAGCCCCCCGCACCCCTATCCGTGAAGCAGGAGGAGCCAGCCACTGAGGGCCCAGGCCCAGGTGCAGAGATGCCTGACCCACCAGCGCTGGACTCACCAAGCCCAGACTCCCCCTGGCACCGCTTCCGCCACTTCCAGCTGGGCGCAGCACCTGGGCCCCGAGAGGCACTGGGGCTGCTGCGTGCGTTGTGCCGCGCCTGGCTTCGGCCTGAGGTGCGCACCAAGGAGCAGATGCTGGAGCTGCTGGTGCTTGAGCGCTTCCTGAGCGCCCTCCCTGCTGGTACCCGCGCCTGGGTGTGCAGCCGGCGGCCCCGCAGTGGGGACGAAGCTGTGGCCTTGCTGGAGGAGCTCTGGGTGAGCCAGGTGTGACCCAAGGCAGAGCTGTGGGGGTGGGGATACGGTGGGGTTGGGGGGGTCTGAGGCCCACCTGTGTCTGGTGGGAGAGGCCCACAGCATCTCCCCCTGTGGAGCCATTGACGGTGGCCTCAGCCAGAAGTGACAGCCCCTGGACTGTGGCCAGCTGGTGTCCTGACCCGGTGTCCAGGCACCCACTGAAGCACAGGCAGCTCCGTCCCTCCAGAGTCCCAGGACCCACACCCAGGCTATGTAGTGCTGGGCACATGGATCCCTTCAACACAGGATCTCGGGCACCATGTCTCCTGAACAGCAGGAGGAGCAGGTGGTGCTCAGGCTGTGGCTGCTCCAGGAGTAGTGGCCAGCGTGGGGTGGGGGACATCAGGGGCAGTGGCACGGTGGCAAGTGAGGAAGACTGGCCAGGGAGCTGGTGCACTAGTGGCATGAACTGTGAGCCCAGCCCTGCGCCCAGGACAGCTGGGCTCTCCTCTCTGTGGGAATAGCCACTGCCCGAGACCCCACGACCCTACTAGGCACCCCATCTGGCCCCTTTGCAGTTCTTAGTCTAGACCCAGGCTGTCCATGCCCAGGCCATTCTTCCTTCTCACTGGGGAGGGGGGCAGATTAGTGGCAGCTCAGACCTGTGGGGGGCCGGAGGGGGGGTCCCTGAGTTGTACAGTCCAGCCTTGAGCTCACGGTATAGCCCCAGCTGACCTGACTCCCAAGGACCCTCCTGGCTCAGCCTCCCCAGCACTGGGTTCCACGCCTGGCTCCCCATCACTCGTAAGCAGGTCTATGATGTCCCTGAGCTCGGCTAGATAATCTAGGATGACCTACATCTGTAGAGTAGGGTCACAGACCCGCAGATCCAGGGGTGAGGTTGAGGCCATCGTTGGGGGCCTCTGTGCTGTGTGTCCCAGGAAACCTGGGGACGTGGAGGAGCGGAGCTGACTGAGGAGAGCTGACTCCTGCCTCTCCTCAGGGCAGGGCTGGGCACCCCATCCCTGGGCGGCTTTGGCTGTGAGCTGGAGAAGCCAGGTTGAATGTTCTATACCTGACACTGACCCACAGTGACCTGCAGGGTGGGACCCTGGGTCAGAGCAAAGGTGGCAATGCTGCCATGCCCACTGTGCTGTGGTGGGGGGCATGCGGAGCCTGGAAGGGCAGCACAGAGGTGGCGGGGCCACAAAGGTAGGCGGGTATGGCCAGGGCAGTGGCTGCAGTGACCTGGAGCCTTTCTTTTCCTGACGTGCAGTTCTCTGCCCTTCTGCTATGCTGTGGGTGCCAAGTGGTGCCTGTCCCTTTGGCTTTGTCCCGGGCAGTCACGTGATAGCTGAGCGGTGCCTGCAGTGCACAGCCTTTGGGACTGGGGCTCCTGACCCTTTGCGGGACACGAGTCACAGCTGAGTGCCTGTGGTCTGGCCGGCAGCCCCAGGTGTGCTGCCCCCATCCAGTCCCCTCTGAGGGAGTGCAGAGGTGTTGGGGATGTGGCCGCTGTGGTCAAACGTGTGGGGTTCTTCATGAGCACAGCACTCCTGCCATGCACACAGCTGCTGGCCTCATGGTGGCTGCCATGATGGTGGCCCAGGTAGGGGTGGCAAGCGCAGGCATCTGGATGGGCCTGTTCTTGCTCCTGGCCGCAGTGGTCTGCCCCAGGCTGGCAAGGGAGGAGCCTCTTTGGCGGGCACCAGTGGCTCCCTGACACCGTCACCGCCAGTCAGCCCACAGCAGGTGTATAGCCCTCTTTTTCCTGTTGTTGCTTTTGTGATCCTGGGGATTGAACCCGGGGCCTTTGCATGGAGCTACCTCCCAGCCCTTTTGATTTATCTCTGGGAGATGGAGCCATGTGAAGTCTCAGTTGCCCAGGCGGGCTGAGCACAGCCTCCCACAAACTAGGATTGCAGGTGGGTCCTACTGCACCAGCACCTCTGCTCCTTCTCTGTCTGGGCTGCTTCTTGCCGGTGAGTTTTACTCATCATTCGTATGTCCTGGGTACAGGTCCTCTGGTGCTGCGACCCAGGGCGGCTTCTGAGGTTTTTGGGGTTAAGGACCAGCGAGAGGATGAGAAAAATAAAGAAAAGACAAAGCTGGGCTCAAGAGGAACCCTCACTCTCCTGATGGGAGGAAAGGAACTGCTCAACTTCTATAGCACATTTATTTACATAGGGTAAAGATGATGTCAATTTCAGCCCCTCTACCTAGCAGCTTCTCTGCCTGGCAGGCCTGGGCCCCTTGCCTTCTCAGAGCTGGAACAGCTTGTTTACATGGCTGGTTTTGGTCTCTGCGTTTTCTGGGCTGGCCTTGCTTCAGCCCCACACATGCAATCAATCTCCAGCTTCAAGGGCTTGGCTTCCAACACTCTGGTCAGGTGTTAATCTTTCCTGTTTCTAAAATATCCACGCCGTGTGCGGCTGGTGCCCGGGACCACAGTGACAGAAGCCAGGCCCAGTGCCATTTACTCACTGCCCTCAGACAGTGGAGTCAGCACTCCTGTTCCGGCCTGGGGGGAGAACAGATGGGCAGCAAATGCACAGCGGCCGGAACACGGGTGCCACCTCGGGGCCCAGCACCCATTACTTGGGCTCTCCCTGTCTGCTCCTCAGCCATTACAGTAATTAGGTGGCCATCACCGATGCAATGAACAGATGCATCTAGCAGGACTGACGGTCTCTTCCCTTTGGGGAGTGGAGGTCCTGTTGGTGCAGACCCTCTAAGGAGGGGGAGTCTGGGGCCCAGAGCTCCAAGGACTGCTCTGCTCCTGGGGCCCAACCTCCTTCCCAGGTCACTGGCCTCAGCCTTTCTCGGGTGGGAGCTTGGTCTGCCTTGGTGATGGACATGTGCCCTGGAGTGAATGACCTTGCTTGACCCAGCCTTGCAGTGTATACAAGCCTTGAGGGTGGACGCCAGAAGCCCAGGGCACGTTCCGCTTGCTGCTTCTGCCCAGAGGAACTGATGGCTGTCTCACAGTCCGGGCCCGAGGGGACTGTGGGAGGTCCCAGCTCACAGACCTGAAGGAAGGCAGGCTGGTGGGTGGCAGAGAGCTGGGAGAGGACCCCCTGCTACCCAGCCCACAGGACAGGGAGGGCCCAGGCCAGGCCACCTTGGGTCAGGTTGAAGAGATCCAGAGGCTTTAGCCAGGGATCCCAGGTAGCACGGACCAGCTGGTAAGTGGAGGAGAAAGGCAAGGCACTAATGAATGAGGTGCCACACTCATGCCCAGAAAGAGCAAGAAAGTAGTGCAAACTGCACAGGAGCACAGACCTGCCTCATGGGACATGGGCTCAGCCAAGGACAGCAGAGACACGAGCAGCTTGCACAGTACTTGGGCCTGGGGACAGGGCTGGCTGTGGGGACAGACGTCACTGCAGTGCTCATGGAGAAGCTGCTGGAGACCAGACACCAAAGGGGAAATAAACCAATGACAGAGACTTTCTCCACAAGTAGCACCAGGTCGCAGCAGGTTTATGCCTAAGTGCTGCCTGACCTCCAAGGAACAGATGGTTCTTGGCATCACAGACTCTTCAGAGGACAAGGGAAGGGCACCAGGTCATTCCATAAGACTGCCAAACCCCTCTGCAAAAACAGCCCCGCCGTAAAAGAATAACCAAGAAAGCCAGCTCTAGTAGGCCTGGGAAATGGATGTAAGGATCCCTAGTAGAATATTAGCTACTTTGACCCAGCCAGAGGTCAGTGTCCTGATTCACTGCACCAGGCAGGTTGGCTCAGGTCTGCAGGAAGTTCTGTCACCAGGAAATGCCTGTAAGGGGCACAGCCCTGCAGTCAAGGGCAGAGCCAGAGCTGCAGAATCGTCCACAGTGGAGAGCTGACCCAGCTCCCAGACAGGATGGGCACTTGCAGGTCCAGACTCGGCACGCTTACTGGAGAGGTTGGGAATCTTCCCGCGGTGATGGCGTGAGACTCAGCTGGACCTCGGCTGAGTCCCAAAGCCCTCAACAGCTAAAGTGGGAGAATTGGGTGTAACTGCGGGCCAGTACTGGAAGGGTTCTGACGGTTTTCCTGGGGTGAGGGATTGGGGACGATGACAGTGAAATCAAAGGTGGCTGATCCAAAGCTCCCAACCCTGTCCCTGCCAGAGCTGCACTGTCCACCCTCGGCCCTGGGGAGTTCCGGTTCTAACATCACTGTCCTGCTGAGTTGCATGTAGCTTAGGTGCTGTCCTGCAGTTAATCCAGGTGCAGCAAGGAGCTGGAGTTGGAGCAGGTGTGTGGAAGCTGGCCTGGTGGCACACACAGGTCACCCCAGTACTCAGGAGACTGAAGCAGGAGGGTTGTTGCGAGTTTAAGACCAGCCTGAGCTACAAAGTGAGCTCAAGGCCAGCCTGAACTGCACAGAGAGACCCTGTCTCAAAAAGACAACAAAACAAGCAGTGTGTAACCAGGCCCCCATTGCTCTGTAGAAGTCCCCCATCCCCCAGACTGGATCACACCACGCTGCCGAGGCCCTGTGTATGGAGGCTTGGACAGGCCTGGCCCTGGCTCTGGAAGTTGCAGTCGCTGGCAGGCCTGCTGTCCTCTGAACCTGGCTCATGGGGCAGGCAGTCTCACCACTGCCTGGAGCATTCCCAGAGCACGTGGCAGGACATGACCCCAGCCTGAGTGAGGGAGAGGCCCAGGCCCCCTGAGCCTGGAATGTGCTCTCATTTCAGGGACCCTCGGCCTCCCCAGATTGGTCGACAGTCATGAGGGCACCTCAGGATGCCACAGGAAGTGCTGGGCTGGGTGTCGGAAAGGAAGATCTCGGGGCTGTCCCCTTCGGTGAGCAGCTGGCCCCTCCTCTTCCCCAGCCCTCTTGGTCCTCAGCAGCAGCAGCAGCAGCAGGGCTCTTGGTGCCCACATTGCCCACTTGTGCAGCATGTACTGGGCACCAGGGTGGGAGATGCCCATCATGCCGTCCCTGGAGCTGGGGCAGGTGGGTTGCAGGAGGCAGAGTTGGGATGGGGGTGGCTGCAGATGATGTGCCCCCTCCCCCTGCGGATGTTGGGGTGGGGGGCAGTCTTGCTGCCCACATCACATGGCTACAGATTCTAAGGAGAACAGGTTGAGGATGGACCAGGAGCAGGTGGCGACCAAGCCAGACTGGACCCAGAGGGCCTGGCCCAGAGCCTCGCAGCCCAGCACTCCAGGGCCCCTGCAGCCTGGTCACACTGGCCTGGCCCACCAGTGGTGTCAGCCCCACATTTGTTAGGGCAAGGGCTCATGGGGGCAGAGGAGGGGGCGGTGGGGCAGGCGGCATGGGCAGCTAAGGCGCGGAATGCAGCGCAGCAGCGTGGGAGGGCAGGAAGCTGTGGGCAGCAGAGGGTGCCTGGACTCGGGACCTGACCCCCGACAGTCGCTACACAGCTGTGGGAACCCTGCAGGGACTCCACCTACCCCTTCCTCTGTGTGCAGTCTGCCGACACATGGGCACATCTTGCTGCCTGGCTGTCACCTTTTGCCCTCCGTCCCACTGTCCATCCACTCATTCATCACCACCTGCTTACCTACCTACCCACCCACTCACCTATTGACCCACCCTAACCCACCCACCAACCCACCCCCGTCCGCAGATCCCCACCCTCCTACATGTCTCTCTCCATCTACCTGTCAACTCCCCTTCATCGGATGGGGCGTGTAATGGGCATCGCCCACGCTGCCCTGTCCCCTGCCTTCTGCGGACCTGCTCAGAGCCAAACCCAACCTCGTGTTTTTCCCTGCAGGAGTTGTGGGCCCCGGAGTGGAGGTGCCGGCGATGGGAGATGCCCGGGCCGCGTGGCCGCCCAAGCAGGAGCCCGATAGCCCCCCACCCGCCAACCCGGGCACCCCTGGGGCCCCCTGCCCTGAGTGCGGCCAGACTCCTGCACGTGCGCAGCGGCCCATACGGGAGAAGCCACACGCCTGCCCCGAGTGCGGCAAGGCCTTCCGGCGCAAGGAGCACTTGCGGCGCCACCGCGGCACGCACCCGGGAGCGGTAGGGACGGCGCGGCGCCACCCGGCCACGCGCGAGCGGCCGCACGCCTGCTGCGACTGCGGCAAGGCCTTCTACTGGCGTGAGCACCTGGTTCGCCACCGCAAGACGCACTCTGGGGCGCGGCCATTCGCCTGCCGGGAGTGCGGCAAGGGCTTCGGGCGCCGCGAGCACGTGCTGCGCCACCAGCGCATCCACGGCCGCGCTGCGCGTGCACAGGGCACCGTGACCGAGGGCGGCGGCGCCTTCCCGCCCTGGCCGCTCGGGTGACCGCTCGCCTACCCCTCTCGTCGCGCCCTCTCTCCGCCTCAACCCTCACCCCGTCCCCTGTCCCATGCGCCCTCACCCCGGCCACAGGGGAGCTGTACGGATCTCCCCAGGACAAAGGGGCAGACATGGATGGCGGGGGCTCCGCCCATAGCACCCAGAAATAAAGCCGGCGCGCAGTGTGCCCGCAAGTCTGCTCGCTCTCTGGGGCTCGGCCCTGCCTGTCTGGTCTGCAGTAGGGAGGGATCTGGGGTAGGGCCCAGGCCCCTGGTGGTTGTCCCCAGCCGTGTGCGTGAGCAATGACAGCATGTGCAAAATCCCTGCCTCCCCGGCTGTGGTCCTCTTGTCAGGGACCTCAGGTGTGGCAGACCGCTCTGGAGCCGCCCACTTCCCACGATGGACCCTCAGGGCTTCATATGCTCAGGCACCTGCAGGGCTGGGTGCCCCTGAACCCGCCTGCAGGACAGCCAGGTGGGGAGCTCTCTGGGGTCACTGGGCACACGGGGAGGAGCTTGTTTACCAGCTCGGGGACCCCACGCGGTGCAGAGAGCTAGGGCACCTGCACTGCTTACCTGAAGGAGGATCACACGTGGGGCCCAGCCCCACTGCTGGGCTTCAGCGCCCCGGGCCTGCAGGCAGAAAGATGCCCTGCCTGACCTGGGCACGGCTGTGTCCGATGTGCTGTCCCCCGAGACTGGGGTATGGGATGTGGGTCCCCCTAACAGGAAGGTGTAAAAAAGATAGCGTTGGGAGGATTTGGGTGCCCTGCGGGTGCAGGGATGGCACAGCCCAGCCTGGACCTGTGACTATTGTGGCCCCCAGCCTAGCCCCACGCCGGCCTACCGACCAGGTCTGTTGACATACAAGCACTGCTTGGGGCAGGGTACACCCACCGCTGGGGCTCAGGTCGCCAGGGCAAACCCCAGCCCTCGAGCAGGCAGCTGTGTGTCCTTGTGGCATCTTGCCCAGGAGCTGAAACTCCTGTGTGAGGGCCACAGGGACGGCAGTTTGGCTTCTGTGTAGAGACCAGACGACTGCCTGATCTCCCCGGGGCTGGAGAGGGCGCTGTCTGCACGTGAGCTACTTTTAGAAATTCGAGGGCCAGGAGCATGTGCACACACCTGTGAAGGGGGCGCCTGGTGTCTGCAGTGCAGGAAGGGAGGTGGCCTTAAAATGTGGCATCAGCCCTGCCACCAGGTGATAGCCACTTACTGGGGATGAAGCAGTAGTGAGAACCAAGGGCCCCCAAGAATGGGCAGGGAGAGCTCGGACAGGTGGGGGGCATCAGCGGGCGTTGGTGGGAAGGGCTGGACCTGGGCTGGCTGGACTGTCGCTGTTATTACTGATTTCCAGACAGTCTGACAAGTTGCCCAGACTGGATTCAAACGTTGAGTCCTTCTGCCCCAGGCTCCCACAGTGCCGGGCTTATACTGTGCCATGAAGCCCAGCTGGAATAATCCATTTTAAAAATACTTATTTATTTAGAGACAGTGTCTTTCTGTAGTTCAGGCAGGCCCTGAACTCACCATGTGGCCCAGGCTGGCCTCAAACTCAGGGCAGTCCTCCTGCCTCAGCCTGCTGAGGGAAGGGATGACAGGCCTGCGCCACCACAGCTGGTTTGGAATAACGTTTTTAAAAAGAAGTGCTGTTGACTGACCGGTAGTAGCAGTGAGTGGAGGGACAGGATGAGTCCAGATTCCTGCATTTGCAGGGAAAATGAGCAAAAACAAAATAGCAGCTCCCTGCTGGCTGGAGGAGCAGGGGTGCTCCTGCCACGCCTGCTGCTGCAACATAGCTGCAGACCTCATGTCATCAGCTCCACAGATCAGAAAGCCTGCCCCAAATGTTGGCCTGGACTCCAGCCTGTATCCTGCTGCTGAGGCAAGGCAAGGGGGCACCCGCTGGGGTCCTCCCGGAACCTCCTTCCTATTTTGGGGTACCCCCTGCACTATTGCCTCCCTGCAGCTGCTCTGCCCCTGGAGTCACTGCAGGTCCAAGTCTAATCACTCCCTGGGCACGGATGTGGCCTGGGCAGAGCTACCTGCTAGGTTGTCCTGAAGCCGGCCCTCTCCATCCTCAGCACCCTGCCTCAGGCACAGCAGTGTCATCTGACCCTGGACAGCGTGGGAGTGACTTCCTGGCCATCCAGGCTGACCTGTTCCCCTGCCCACCTGCGGGACCTGACTACCACAGGGAGACACAGGCCCCGCTGCAGTGAGGCCCAACCCTAGCTCCCCCTACAGTGCTCCCGTGGCCTGCCGGATTCCCTGGGCTTATCCCCAGCAGAAAACAAAACACAGAGCCAGGCGTTGTGGTGGACACCTGTCACCCCAGCATCCAGAGACAGGAGGTTCGGGGCCTGCGGAGTTCCATGGTGAGACCCTGTTTCAAAAGCAAAAAAAGCCACCGCTGGGAAACCTTGTTTTGCCCCAGTTAGAATGGCTGTCACTATTATTTAAATATGCTTACAAGAGTGTGGAGGAAAACTAGACAGGGATGGTGGAGCCACAGGGAAAACAGCAGGAGCCCTCGTAACACTAAAGGGCATGGAGGGAGGCAAGGCCGGGGCCTTCGGTGTGCTGGGAGCCTTACACGGCACCATGGTGCTGAGACCACCAGCCCTGCACAGCGCTGCAGTCTCAACCAGACAGGGTCAGGGGAGTGGCTGGTATGCGCTGTTGATCCATGTTAGTGGGAATTATCTGGTTCAAGCCGCAGAGGCCAGAAGCTGAGTTGGCAGGGAGGTGCAGACCCTGGAGAGCTGCGTAGTCTGTGCCCTGGCCTTGGGGAAGCTGCAGTGGTGGTGCACATCATGCACAAACAGTGTGAGCGTGCAAGAGAGGACGGCCTGAGCATGTCAGACAGCGCCTGTGCACCCTGCACAGATTCCTGCATCGATTTAAGGAACTGAGAAGGCAGCGGGAAATAGAGATAAACAAGATGGTGATCAGGAGGATGGCAGTAGCCCTGTGCAACTGTGATCCCAGCACTCTGGAGGCTGAGGTGGGAGGATGGCAAGTTGACTCTAGCACTGGAAACCAACTTAGCAAGGCCTGAGAAGGGCTAGGAACCCTGGGGTACAGGGCTGTGTGACCACCCTTCCCTCAGTCCCACTGCTACCACCAAGAAACGCCGTTCTCCCCACCATGGTCCCTTTCAGGTCAGCCCCTGTCCCTTCCGGCTCCCAGCCAGGGACGTGGCCAAAGTCTCCCTAACTAGGTGTCCCACCCTTTCCAAGGGGAAGACTCTGCCCATCCACCCACTGCCCCACCACTGTCAGTCACTGTCACCAGAGGGGCCCCAGGGCCATCTCATGGGGCTGCAGTGGCTGGGGGGCTGTGGCCCCCAGAGCAATGAGACACTGGAAATGCTTCCCCACCCCTAGCTTCTCGAGCAGCCCTTGTGATGGCACACACTGCAGTCCCACACTGGAGATGCCGATGCAGGAGGATGGCTAGTTCGAGGCCAGCCTGACTGCACAGCGAGACCTCCGTCTTAACAGAACAGCAAAACACTGCGAGATGCGTGCCCAAGCCAGGTGGCACTGTTCCCTCCGCCCTTGGCATCTTCCTGCATTGTCAGTTCATCTTTCTGCCTGTCCATCCACACAGCTCCACACAGACCTCTACCTGGCCAGATCTCCCCGAGTAGCAGGCACTACTCTAAAAAGATTTTTTTAGTGTCAGAAATCGAACTCAGGACCTCGCAATTGCCAAGGAGGCACTGTGCCACTGAGCTGTCCCTGGCTAAGTACCTCTAAGGACAATAGTTTGCTTAATGTTCACAGCTGTCTTTCAGCAGGCCTGATTAAGGTCCTCTACCAGGTTTAGCTGTGCAGCCCTCAATGGACCTTGTCTCCCCCGTCTGCGTCCCCACGTGGCGCCTGTCGGTCCTGGCATCCACCCACCGTCCACCCACCGCCTTTATCCACAGGGCCCGCCTGTCCCATCTCTCAGCATGCACCCCCATCCCCCTTCTGAACACCGTCCAGGCATCCCCAGCTGGGGGCGGACAAAGTGCTTGGTTCACCTCCAGGCACTGGGCCCTACACACAGGAGCACAGGAGCCACCTCCCGCGCCTCCAGCCTTCTGCTGCGTCTGTGTACGAGGCTGCCAGCGAGGGGCTTGGCGTCTCTTTCCCTTGTGTGCCCTAACCTTGAGGGGAGGGTAGCAGCAGCCCTGACTATACTCATTGGGTCCCTGGGGTCCAGCGGTCAGGCTAAGGCGCACCTGGGGGAGACGGGAGGATTAGAGCCTAGCGGGGCCACGGGGTGGATTTATTCCGCAGCACAGGTGGAAGCTGCAGGATTGTTTTGTTTTTTTTTTTCTTTTTCCAGCACTAGGGATCAAACCCAGGGCTTTCACACAGAGTGACATCTCAGGCCTTTTATAGGACTTTTTTTTTTGAGGTTCTCACGCAGTTCAGGCTGGTTTTGAACTCACTATGTAGCCCAGGCTGGCCTTGAACTTGAAGCGATCCTCCTGCCTCAACCTCTGGAGAGCTGGCAGTACAGGGTGTGCCACACGCCCGGCCTTTTTCTGCTTTATATTGAGATCTTTCTGAGTCTCTAGGTTGTCCATGCTGGGCTCAAACCCATGATCCTCTGCCTCAGCTTCGGGGCGCCGGTGCACCCCTTGGAAGGTCCAGACGTGGTGGGAGTGGGCTGGGTACAGTGGGGACCACTGTGGCACCTGTGGTGTCCCCAGCGCCGCTGTGCCCGAGGACGTAGGATCCAGAAGCACCCGAGGAAGGGACAAGGAGGTCACCAGCAGGCAGGTTCCGCTCACCCTCTCACGGCGACAGGGCGCAAGATAGCCCAGGGCTGCGGACCTGGAGAGGAGACCGAGATGCCAGGGAAGCTGCCTGCGGCCACTGGGCATTCGGAAGAGCGAGACTATGCGGCGTGGTCCCGCAGACCGGTGATGCCAGCTTCCGAGGAGGCTGAGGCAGGAGGGTCCGAAGTTCAAGCTCAGCCTGGTGAGCTTAGCAAGAGTCCGCCTCATAGTATGAAAATCAAAAAGGCTGGCGCTGGGCTCAGCAATGGGCTGGTCTCCACCCCAAGTACTGGAGCATCTCAAAGGTGCTTCTTAGAGGAGGCACCTGGGGATCACAGCCCCCGTCACAGGCCTGGAGGGACCAAATTCCTGTGACCCAGGTAAGGACCCCGAGTCACCCACCCTGACTCCGCCC